CATCGACAAGCAAATTAGACGGTTGATCATTTAACAGGGATAAGCTATCTAACTAGCCTTTCATTTTCAGGGAAAGTTTACAAGTTCACCATCCGTATTTGTAACTGCCGAACATCACCATTCTGGACTGAAGCGCGACGCAGCTAGTGTCTGGACTGAAGATGTGACGCAATCCTCATGTAAAGTTTGTTTAAGGGAATTACAAAACTACGCAGGATCCCACAAAGACATTTCTGTGGTAAGTCATTGGTTCACAGGCTTATCGATTGCTGTCCTATCTAAACAGCTGCTTTCACTTGTGCTCATTCACTTCGAAGGTACTTTCATTGCATTCTAAAAAGGAATGCTTTCTCAATGGTGCAATTTTCAGGTGCTTTCTGGTTAGACACACGCTTCACAAACTTAATGATGTTTAGCATAAAGGTTACTCCAATATAAAAAAATGGATGCCTAAGCAGCATAAAGTATAAGAATTATTTCAACTACATTAAATATTTGACGCAGTGCAATTGAATGCAATGAATAACAATCAGAGATAATGCAAAATATGATCACTGCGATACACTGCGACCATTTTAAGGCAAAAGGTATATACATGTATATTAGAGTGTACTTTTAGTCGCATTCAACCATTATGCGCAATATAAGATTTACTGAACATTCTTCCATTCTTTCTTATCTTTATTAGAATTGGCTCGCGTTTGTGGATCTTCACAGGCCTCCCTTCTTGGAACATAGAGTTATTCACTTTATGAACAACAAACCCCCTTCTGATGATCAAAATCATGCCTTCTGCAAGGTTAGTTATGGTTGGAAGTTTTACAATATACTATCAGCATACGATCCAATTTCCAATTTCCGAAGTTGTCTGGCCCATGAGGGGTTTATTAAGTGCAAATTGATCAGTAATCATAGCGATATCCATGCTTTCTTCACGTTCTACGAGGGATTGACCAAAGTTATAAGGATCTTCACTAGGGCGGTTATTTAAGTGTGCACACTGATTCCAAAATATATGTAATTTATCCTTTTTTTCACAGGATGTTTCCCTTCTCCATACTTATCATACCGTCCCAAATGTACTTGTATCTGCTAATCACTCAACGAAAGGAGGGAACCTAAGTCCAGTTCACAATGGCATAACTGCTTGGGTAGAGGTGAGATAAAATTTTTGACCTTTCTTGGGTTCTTTTAGAAAAACTGAGCAATAGTTAGCACCTATCCAACGACAGAGAGGTTACTTGTTTTTTTCAGTAAATACCGCAGAGGAGCCGAAAAATGAGTTTCTTTATAATCCTCAATCGTGATTTTGTCTTCGTCTGCTCAGAGGTTAATAGTACTTTCTAGTTACTTCCGTAATCAAGAAGAAATAGTCCATAACCAAGACGAAAACGTTTACATTCAACATCTATCCAACGACAGTGAGGTTACTTATTTTTTCAGTAAATATCACACAGAAGCCGAAAAATTAGTTTACCGAAAACTCCTCAAGCGAAATTTTATCTCTTCGGCTGCTCGGAGGTTAATACTACTTGCTAATCACTTCCGAGCCAACCAATCGGCGCGCGAGAAAAACACTAATTCCCGTGAGGTAAATATTAATGACACATACATGTATCACAGTGTCAAGTGTTCATTGCGATGACCGTAATCAAATATAAATATACACAGTATGTCATTTATTTTATTTTCTACAGTATATCAACACGACTGGCTTTCGTGTTTGTTTTAAAGAGCTGTTTGAAAAAAAATACGATCCTCTTTCTATTGTCTACACTGTCATGTCAGGTAAGAATTTGAGAGCATAATATATCAACACAAGAAAAACGTTCATAAACTCATTACCAATCATCAATTCAAGAGAAAACAAGATCATCAAAACTAACAAATTTTTAACATCAACGCGTCACTGCAAACGTAGAGGCTTTACGCATGGGTACTTGAATTTGGCAAATATCTGATCGCCTAACTGCATGGATGAAAATGTGCCGTGCATGATTGCTATGAATTACCTGAATTTCACAGGTGTCTTTTGAGAACCTAGGAGAAAGAGATGGGACGGTAAGGACGTTGATTGGGCTATACCGATACCAGTTATTTTTTCATAGTATGAAAATGAAAATTAAGAATGTTTCTTAGCGAAAAGATTGTTGAATACTTATTGTGACATCTCGATGATAAAAATAATGTATCTTCAAACGAGCTGCAAGTATATTTCTCTCACTCAGAACAACAGTTCAAGGGCAGCTCCGTGTGGTTCTCCTATAACGCAAAATATTCATCATAGAAAGTAGCTTTTCAAACATAAATGGAACGGACATAACAGCATCTATACGAACCACGTACTGATTCTGCTTCATGCTTACGCTTAAGTACCTATTTGCATTACATACAGAGGTATGCCAGCCTGGATGGGATTATTTCAGTGGCTACTGTTACTTCACAAGCTCCACTTGCTCCTCGTGGCCAACTGCTGAAAAAAAATGCGCTAAAATGGGTTCACATCTTGCGACGGTCCATAATCAAGAAGAAAACGTTTACATTCAACATCGGCACAATGGAGAGAAATCCTGGATTGGGCTCAATGATCGAAGCGCAGAGGGGTCATTCGTGTGGATAAACAAAGGCACAAGTAGCTTTAGATTCTGGGCACCAAACCAACCAAACAATTATAAGGATCAGGACTGTGTACACACTCTCGGCGCAAAGAATGAATACACTTGGAATGACGTTTCATGCGATAACTGTTTCAAATTTACTTGTTTTAAAGGTAAATGATATAAAATTAATGTATGGTCCCGAAGGAAACAGTTAGTTTGGTTTTTCTTGGAGTCCTGATGTTTCCCGAGGCGACGTCGAGGGAAACATCAGGACTCGAAGGAAAACAAAACCACCTAGTTTCCCGAGGGACCATACATTAGTGTTTTGTTATATAATTAGCCTTTCCCTTAAACAATCATATGGCAAAAACATTAAAACAAAGACGGCACAAATTCTTTATTCACAAGCGTGAATAAAGAATCGTGAGCACGTGCCATTTTTAATTTAGTCATGCACTGATCACGTGCTGTTGTATTCGGCGCGCGGGCAACAACTGCGCAATTGTATCCCGGTCGGGATACATTTGAATTTGATCAGGGGCACGTGACCAAGAATTCAACCAGTCACAGTGCTCGTTTTGTTGAGTGAAAGTCTAGGTATATAACAATGTAACATATTTGAACGAGGATCTCTCAATTTCGGATAGTCTTTATCTTGAGCCGTTTTTCTCAAGGGCGCATTGATTGATATTTTGCTCATAAACCCTAAAATCTGGGTACTAGGTGGGGGATGAATCCTGTGATAATTGTACTGCATACCAGATTTTCTTTCCAGTGAAATATGTTTAGCTTTTAAGGTTATGAACGAGTGCACAAACAAGGCTCATTGGTGTAATGTCAATGCTCTATGTCAAAATACAAAAGGATCTTACAAATGCGTTTGTGAGGCAGGATTTAATGGAGACGGGAAAAAATGATCTGGTATAAGAACATTTCATGATCATCTTTTAAAAGCACTGTCGTTTAATGCACTTTGTGGCTTTTTAGAATTAATTGAAGCCCGTGAGCAATCCTTGAGCAATTATTCCGTATTTAATCAGTGAGAAGATACTACGTATGCAATCCAAAGGGAATCCGTGGGCAATCCGAGGGCAATCCGTGAGCAATCTGTGGGCAATCTGTGGGCAATCTGTGGGCAATCTGTAGGCAGCCTGTTTAAATAATCCGAAAATTCTATGATGCTACGCGAACCTCTCCAGCGTGCCATCAGAATATTAATTTTTGACTGATTCGTTCCCATGTCACTCAAACGTCAGAAATCAAATTTTTTAGCTAGTTGCAGACTATTGTGTAAGGCATCGGTGACAAAACGATGCAAAGTGTATGAGCTTTTAAAAGAGCTACATATGTGCGTGTTACTCATCTGGTTAGAAAGGAAGCTATTGTGAAAAAGGTTCGCCTCTTGTTAAAATCATCCCCCATTTTAGAAGCATGTTAAACAAAGAAGATGTTAAACAAAGAAGACGGGGGATGCCTAATTAAGATATGCTTATCCACAGATGTCAACGAATGTGTGGAAGGTCTACATGATTGTGATCCCAACGCCGTTTGTGATAACACTGTGGGTTCCTACAACTGTACATACAGACCAGGATTAATTGGAGACGGAAGAAACAGCTCCACAAAAGGTTGTAAACCTCTTTTTGTAGAGAATTAAAGGATAATCTAGAAATTGCTGCGCACAATTGCACATTCTGACAACTACATCTGTCCAGTTAATAGCATCTTTATTATCCATAGTATGAACGCTGTCATCTCCGTCGTTCTCCCAAATCTTTTTCTCCTTATCACTTTCTTTCTCCTTCCTTTTATTGTCATTCCCATTCTCATCTTTGCCCTCTTATAGACCATTTCATGCTTATTCCTAATCCTCGTCTTCATATACGTCTTCATTATACTTCTCCTCCATGTGCTCAATCTTTTTGCTCTTCCTTTTCCTTCTTTTTGTTTTCCCTCTCATCATCATCTTTATCTTTACGCCATCGTTATCGTCATCATCATCGTTTTCATAATCTTTAGAAAAGTAACGATTATCCCTTTCACGTCATCATTGACATCATCATGACAGGAAACTATTTTGAAAAAGGTTTTCTATTTTGTGAAGGATTTTCTTTTTAAGTTCATGTAATAAACAATGTAGATGGAAGATGCTAAATTAAGATATGTTTATCCATAGATGTTAACGAATGTGAGGAAAGTCTACATGGTTGTCATGCCAATGCCGTTTGTGATAACGTTGTTCCACAAATCGTGCAAGAATTATGCATTTTTGAACAACTATGATCGTTTTATCGCCTGTGACTGATATTTTCGCACGCACATACTTAAAACCAACTAGGATGCGTTTCGGTTGTGGTAGTATTTAACGGCTGTGTTCAATCACTTAACTCACATACGTGGGAAGATTATGCCTTTCATTTAGGAAAAAAAACGCATTCCCTTCTTTAGGTCATTCTTGTAAGGAAATTCGGAACGCAGGTTCCCATCTTAAAGACGGGGAGTACTGGATCGATCTTAAGAAGAACGGAAACCTTTTAAAGGTCTACTGTGATATGACAACCGAAGGAGGTAAGGAAAGGATGTTTAAGAAAAACTAATAGCGATAACAGTGTTTGTTTTTTTCTTTTTTACTTCTGCACAAACTGTCCTTCTATAGTAAATGGAATGTAATATTATCTTGAAAAATAAAGAATTTAATTTAATTTAATTTAATTTCTTATTTTCAGGTGGTTGGCTTCTGGTCTCCAACGTTGTCGTCGACAACCCACTCTCGCTACGGTTTTCATACGAATCATCATACCGTGAAATAACCAATTATCAGAACAAGTCGTTGTTACTCACGGCAGATGCTATGAAGGAACTGAGAACACATTTACCTTTCACTCAGTTGAGATTCTATTGCAGAAAGAAAAAGGGACGCACTTTCCATTTGACCACGGCTGCTAACAGCAGTGGCGAAGCAGTAGTAAAATACTTCAGTGGTCAGACAGATGCCTTTCCAAAAGCATGTGGCTCGTTTGTGAGGATGAAGGATGACAACTCGAAGTTAGCTGCTGATTGTAGTCAATGGTACGATAAAACGTGGGGAAACTCTAATAGAGGACAAAACAGATATCGCGTCGTTGCTTTTGTCAATGGGAAATATCACTGGCTTTTGGAAGGGAGCTCAAGATGGGAATGTGACGACTACATCTCTAATGGGGCAGGATATTTTGGATTGTCCACAGGTGACTTTTGGAGGGTTTTTGTTCGTTAAGGCAAAATGCAACTAGTAACTGAACAGTTCTCATTGTCTGGAAAAAAAGTCAATGGCTGACCAAGATCTGTGTCACGTTTTGTTGTTTTTTATCCTTTTGTTGCTAAAGCAAGCCTCCACTGCTAAAATAAACTGTTATTAGAACTATCGGGATAAAATCTATGCGCAATTTTTGGCATGTTGAAATGATGATACTTGAACCCCGATGCAACCGTAGTTTAGTCATAATTATAGTTAGTTCAATAATTATTATCTGTAGTAATTGTTTTGGAAATGGTGAAAGGACTGAGTGGAGTCCAATTCGGTCTGTAATCATAAGAGTGAGTAGCCAAGTTATGGAAGAAAGAGAAATTTACATTAAAAGACTGACAAAGGAGGCGTAAATTGTTCAACTGTTTGATATAATTGATTGATTTAAACTACAACTTTGAACGTGATTGGCTTATTGAACTGTCGATAGTCCCCAGCCTTTAAATTTGCAAAACTTAGGTTAGACCAAACGTTTTTCTCTTTTGATTTCTGTTTTCTTTTTCTCTTAAGTTTTTAATTTTTGTCGCCCACAGGTAAACCTTTTTACACGATGTGCGATTTTTTGAAAGCTACATTTATTATCTTTATATATTTATTTTTTTCAAAAACATCGTGAGTTTTATTTTCCGATATAACAAACGCTTAATAAGTTTTTTAGCCAAGCTAACAACATGACATAAAAAATTATTCCTTAAGGGTCTCAGAGCTCTATCGTAATTAATAAACCAAAAGATATAACCAACTTCAGTTAATATCCTGAGATAATAGCACTGAGTCAAGCCAATAACCTCTTTCTTTACTGTTTTCTACCTGCTATGGTAAAGGTAGAAGAGAAGTAATCATTTTATTTCACCGAAAAGAAAAGCTTACAATAAGCTTATCATAATGGCGACACGGAAACCGCGCTTCTCCTTTCCACCTGCCGCTTGATATAAAAATGCAAGAATTAGTTTTTCACGTATCTGGATCTAAATTGGGATTTTGAATTCCACTTGCTTGTAACCTTTCCAAGTTTATCAAAGTTAAACACAACAGCGTCTATTCAAAAAACAAATTAAACCGTTTCCAATAGAATCCCTCTCATCCAAAAAAGATCCCCCCCCCATGTAAGGAAGACGAACGATGGCTATTTATCTACTAGGAGTTTACCCGTGGTATGATATAATTCCCTCGTAAACATCAATTCAGCTCCAGTTAGCCATATAACACAGCAGCCTCCAGTGGGAGAAAAATTTAGTTGTCTACCATGGCATCCCACTGATCCAACAAAGATGCACCACTTCATCAGCTATCACGTTGTCCTATGTGCTACTGTACTACAAACTGACTTTGAAGCCAATGCACTTCATGTAATAGGAGGATTCACAAATAAATCCTTATGTTCATGTTCATAAGGGCTTAAGCTTGTTCATTTCTTTATCATAATCATTTGAAATGCAATTGATGTGTTTAATGCTATGGTGACAAACCACCAAATGTGTTATCTAGAAGTATTCTCACTCGTAATGTCAACGAGGACCACTCACTTAGAAAATGAAGAATGAAATGCAGTTGGTAAATCTTAAACTAATGGGTAAATGGCTCAACCGCAATGCCTCTGCATTTATTCATGAGAGATTTGTAGAGGATGATCTCAAGTAATTGGAAATGGTACAAGGCAGGAAACGCAATATTTAGCTCATGGTCGCCAAGTATTTTATCACCGAACGCACAACCTAATGAGCTGATTTACACGTGCATTTTGTCTGATTAGTTCACCCTTATGTATTGGAAAACATAGTGTCCAAACACAAAATTGGCATCCAGCTAGTTCATCATTTCCTATTTCTTTGGCAGTCTCACTTTGAAAGTAGAGCACGTCAGTCTAAATTTTCAATTTTGGCACGTTCAATATCCAGTCTTGTTTTTGTTTTGCTCGATCTTTACCGCCAAAGTTTGAAACTTTAGGTAGAAATTCGTTTTGAAACGAGACAAACCGAGGGTACATACTTAGTATGCGGGAACTGTTTCACGTTATTCAATATGATTCGCCAGTGAAGTGAGAAATAGGGACTTTGGTCCGTTAGTGACAGTTTGCTAATTGTCACCTTTATAATTATAAGCTAGAGACCAACACTTTCCCAGAGAGAGTTTAGATAATCCCTGAGCTAGCATGTTGTATTAGGTTTTTAGGAAAGGAAATAAAGAAAGTAACAATTGCACAAGGATTGCTAGAAATTCATCTAACAATAGGCATAAATGACGCCAACGTTTATACGTAATTGCAACTTTTATTTGATTATATGACACCACTGTATTTCACGTTGCAGAGCGTTTGCAGCGTGTCTTCTAAAAGGAATATGGTTGATCTCTTTTTAAACTAAAAATTTTAAATGAATAATTTAGACCTAACCAAGACGTACGGGCTACGGTCATTTGTCTCGAGACTCTAATGCCCAAATGTTTCCGGAAAGTTCCCGTAATACGAAAACTGACAGCAAGATATGAAGCTCGACGCATTTCCATTAATGTTATTCCATTCGATCTTAAATTACAGTCTAAAGTAATGAAACATTCATGAGTTCCATTTAAGAAATCAAACAACGGTAAGCTATCTTTGCATCAGAATTGAAATGACATATTAAAACTTTTTACCCTCAAGAACCCGCTAAACACACCAATACAAAACGAAATAACTAGATCGCATTGTAAGTTACGTCGACGTCGGGTTCTTCTTGTCACCACCTTAACACACCCAGCCTGTATATAAACGTATATAGACTCAATTCTGACTTCCCATATTTAATTTACATATTTCATCCTCCATTTTGGACACATCGTATTAACCACAAACAGTTCTTAATGGATCGATGTTACCTCAAAAAGAAAGAATGGTTAAAAATTCAGCAAAAGCTAGAGATCAATCACAGAGTTTTCAGTTTTATGTTCAAAAAGTTCTGGAAAGATTGTAGTAGCTTTATGTTCATCATTCTTAACCCTTTCACTCCCAAGATCTCATTTAGTAATTCTCCTTTCTGTCTTCTATACAATTCTTATGTTGTTAGCTTGGAGAATTTGGTATTGGATCATCTTCAAATCCCCTTATTGATATTTGTCTTTATTCTCATCACTTGTCTGCTTGATATTGTATTGATCTCATAAGGAGAAATTCTTTTTTGGTAAGTCATGGGAGTTAAGGGGTTAAACAGAGACTGCCTTCATCCTACGCAAAGTGGCAGGTATTTAAGGTCTGACATTTTTCTTCGCGTCACAAATATAAAATGGCCATAAACAATTAATATATGTTATTTGCCGGCTGGGAGGTCCGCATGGTGAAAAACTGTGACCGAGGTCTTGAAAATACTAAAGCATTTTCAAGGCCGAGGTCACAGTTTTTCATTATACGGACCGACCCTTAGCCGGTAAATAACATATCTATTTTTTTTTTAAACATAGAAAATCAAGAGTGAAAATGCAGTTGGTAAATCCTAAACTAGAAGGTAAATAGTTCAACTGCATTCATCTATGAGAGATGCATTTATGATCTCTAAAATACTAAGCAGTAAATTTTTTAAAGTCTAAATTTAAGTGGTTTTTTTCGGTTGTAACTCACTTAGAGAGCATTCAACATTATTTCATAGTTTGGTACCGATTCTTAAGAAAGCACTTTTTTGTACATAAAGGTTTGAGGGTTTTTAGAAAATCATTGTTAGAAGTAGAAAAACGTGCGTTGTAGAATGGGCTTTTAATGTTTCTGCAAACAGACGTTGTAGTGCGTCTGCAGTGCGTCTTCCAAAAGGAATATGATTGATCTCCTTTTAAACAATAAATTTTAAATGAAAAATTTAGACCTAACCAAGACGTACGGGCTACGGTCATTTGTCCTGAGACTCTAACGCCCAAATGTTTTCCGAAAGTTCCTGTAATACGAAAACTGACACCAAGATATGAAGCTCGACGCATTTCCATTACAGTTATTCCATTCGATCTTAAATTACACTCTAAAGTAATGAAAATTCATGAGTTCCATTTAAGAAATCAAACAACGTTAAGCTATCTTTGCATCAGAATTGAAATGACTTTTTAAAATATTTTAGCCTCAAGAACCCGCTAAACACGCCAACACAAAATGGGAAACGACTAGATCACATCGTAAGTTGCATCGGTTACCGGTCACCTCGCCACCAAGCAGACTCGCCACCAGCGAACTCGCCACCAAGGAACGATCTCGCCACCAACGTACTCGCCACCAAGGAACGATCTCGCCACCAACGTACTCGCCACCAAGGAACGATCTCGCCACCAACGTACTCGCCACCAAGCGAAGTCTTCTCGCCACCAACCACCAATAAAGAGATAAACTAGAATAAAGTAGTCGAGGAGAGTAGGATGTTCGAACGAGCACAATTCAAATCGGCCGATACGTTTGTGCGCTTGTCTGTATTTAAATTATGACCTTCAGTGACGTGCTAGATGTGTTCCGTTCCTAACTCGTTGACATCGAAACGTATCGTGTTTGTCTTTTGCACGTAAGCGAGGAGAAATTGCAAAACTCGATGCGAGGAATAAAAACTTACTTGAGAGAAAATGAAACTTCATGGGAAGAAATAAGTGATGAAATGAAACTCGATAGCAGTTGTATTAAAACTAAATGCGAGAAATTGTCAAGTCGGTGCGAGAAATTGTAAGCGTCGATGGACTGAAGCTTTCCTAAGGCAACTACAGTTGTTTCCCAAGGAGAGTTAACAGTTCGAACCCATCGATTCCTGAGTTTGTTTGCTTATTTGTATGAAAATTTCGACGTCTGTGATGTTATAAGTTCGAACGAATCGACTCGAGAGTTTGTTTACTTATCTGTATGCAAATTTCGACGTCTGTGATGTTGTCAAGGGAACTTATTCAATATTCGGTCGAATTATATTACCCAGTTTCCCCGCGGCAAAATAACAACAAACTTTATTGAATATTAAATCTGGAAGAGCAGTTCATATGTTGATCATGACTTTTGCAGATGTGGCGGCTCCTAAAAGAGCCATTTTTAGCGACCTGGAAACGTCCTAAAGACGCAACCTGGGCGCGGTGGCTCCTAAAAGAGCCGTTTTTTGATGTTCCAGGTTCTGCTTCAGGTTCTGGTCGCCGGGCCGTTCAGGTAACTGCAGAGTTTGAGAAGGCGGCGGGCAGAAATCTCGTTGCCGTTAAAGTCTTCCCAGTGCTTGAAGATTTTAGATTGAAGCAGCCGGTACTTCTTCCGCTGAATCCTGGACAGCTTCCCGTCTGACACTAGCCTTATCTGAATGGAGACAAGTCTGGCCTCCTGGTGTAGCAGCTCCACCAGCAGGTAGAATGGCAAGTGGACTCTGTTGTTGGCTCTACTGTTAAGACCGTGGTGCCACGCCTCTATGTCGTTGTTGGTGCGGATCGGCAGCAT